TTTCTACTTCACTAATTCGACAAACCAAGCAACCATGTTTATAAACTTCTGTAAAAACTAAGATGTATTGTGAATTAATTTCAATCATTCATCCCCATAATATTTGTAATTCTAAATAATTATCGCGTGTAATCCACACAAACATATCTTCCTCCTTGGTACCTTTGTTTTCAATTTTGGTCAAATCACGGTTAGAAGGTTGTCTCGTGTATCCCTGTTAAAATTAGAGCAATAATTTTGAATCAGTTTTATATGTATTGTAAAGAGTTAAAACTCCATCAATTGACTTGACGTGGAGATAAATTGTATATAACCCTTCACTCAGAGAATAACAATTTCTTGTATGCTATAAAATGATCCTGTATCTACAAACCTTGTAAAAAAAATATTGAATTTACTAGAAGCCCTTGCTTGCAAATACTTGCAAGGCACGCTCTCTCTATCATTTTTATCGTTAAATTTTTGAATTTTCACATATTTCATATGGTCCTTTCGTAAAGATATTTCATCCATATAATCTCGCATCAACCCAGAAATATAATAACAATAGCAATTTAATGTAAGAATCGATAATCGTAATAACCACATTGCTGTGTAAACTGGAAGTTAGACTTCATCTAGATAATCATTCAATTTAAAATAATATATCAAATTTTCGCTTTGTGATACGGTATGATTTGTGAAATGTGAATCATTGGGTTCTTTATCTTTAATGTCAATTGTTGACTTTGATAGCCAAATGCTTCTTCAAATTCTTACAACCAGGTGTGGATTTCAGCCAGTTATGTGTTCAATCCTATCTCTGATCATCCATTAATGGTAAATAGTTGTGTATATTCCACCATTCCTTCATCTCTTTCTAAAGTTGATATTACACAAATAAAGCATTTTAATCTTACCCTCCGTAAATAGTAATGATTAACTTGTTACAATATCGATATGTTATATTCTTAATAAGTCCTAATATAAAAAATGGTTTGCACCCATTTGGTTTTTGTTACTGAATCAATTACAGTATCTTCCCTATCTCCAGAGCGTTCATTTGGTCTACAATTAAATATAAAATCCGAATAATTTACAGAAATCCACAATGTTTTCAGTGTTATACAAGCATCTCGCCTATTTACAATCTATTACCAATATAAATGGTTATATCCTTTGCCAGTTGATGACAATTGGGAAGAAATAGTACACGATTCTTTGCGAAGGTGATTGCAGCAAGGATAAACGACTTCCTATACCATGCAGTCTTAGATATTACTAAAATTATTTTTTTGCCCATATTCCAACATTAATACCGAACTTTTCTACCAGATTCTTTTGACCAGGAAATAGAAACAGTAATTAATGGATATCTTTTGGATTTGAGTACATTACGGTACCCTCCGAAAGTTTGACCATGATATTTTGAGCATTGATAAATATCGTCTCCGGAATTAAGAAATTAACTATAGATTACAAGAAATTAAAAACGTATCTTTTTGCCTTTTTTGCGTGGCTCTCATTTTTTTCTCTCCTGAACCTTCAAGTTTTCTTTTTCTGTAATGAGAACTTTGTGAGCGCAGAAAAAAATTGACAGCTTACAAAAAGGAAGTGTCACTTTCGTGTCAATCAATTATTTTGCTTTGATATTCACCTGAATGTTTGAATACCAAAAAGGTAATGTTAGTTAATGTCGTAACAACATTATTATTAGAACGCTGTTAGTGATAATCCGTTTGCGCCACTAAATGACTGCGCCAACTAACGTCACCAATGATCACCAGGAAAATCGTGATCATCATTTTCACTGTTATCACGGTTATCGTTGTGATATTTATTTTCTTTATTATCATTATTTTATTTATTATATTTATTTTCATAGTTATATTTACTTTCACTATTATATTTATTATCTCTATCTTATAATTGTATTTTATATAAA